TACATAACTTCTTAGCCGTTCCTGGCTGTACCACAGGAGTATATAAATACACTGTATCACCTAACTCTACGTTCTTGTGATAAGCTTTACTCTCTCTCTTATTTTCTTGTTTCTCAGTGCAGTAGTTAAATTTGTCTTTACTACTTGAAATGATTTTTGCAGTCTTAAGAGCAAATCCTTTGAATACGTCTTAGTATCATCATACGTCCTAAATTTTGACTGTGTCAAAATGTCAACAGGTAACGTTAAATCTCGGCCATACAAAAGAAAAGCCGGACAATCATCCAAAGCCTGATGCTTCCCAGTTCTATGTGCTAACAAAGCAAATGGTAAAAAATGGTAAATGCCTGTCCCAATCTTCCTGTGTTTCAGACACCAAATGACTTAAAGAATTATTGAGTGTACCATTTAACCTTTCCACAACCCCATCTGATTGTGGGTGATAACTTGTAGTGGTGTGTTTACAAATTCCCAGTTTTTTATAAACATCAGTAATAGCTTGTGAAATGAAATTTGTACCTCTGTCCGTAATTATATGCTGTGGCACACCATGAGAAGCAATAAACATTTCCAATTTTTCAATTATTGTTTCAGACGAGCAATTTTGTAAAGCATAAGCCTCAGGCCATCTAGTGAAATAATCAGTAATGACCAAAATATATTTATGTCCAGAAACTGTCAAAGGCAAAGGGCCTACAATATCCATGGCAATACGTTCAATTGGCCTATTAGCTATTGGAACTCTCATTAACGAAGCTTTCTGTGAAGGTTTAAAACCACGCTTCTGTATACATGAATGACAAGACTTTATGTAATTTAGAATTTGCTTATGCATGTTCTTCCAAAAGAAAGCTTTCTGAATTCTATGAAGTGTTCTATGAAAACCAGAATGAGCAGCTACAGGTGAATCATGATTCTGTTGCAAAATTTTTAGGAACTAATGTTTGTGGTACAACAACAATTCTATTTTGTTTTTGCCAACGAGCTTTAGGATTTTTAAATTTACAATACAAGATATCATTTTCAATTGAAAAAAATTTGTGAAAGAGGTTTTGGAGTTTTATTGTTTAGTAATTCTTCTTTTATTTGTTTACAATAAGGATCTAGAGCCTGTTGTTCTTTAATGGTGTGTATAAGATCAGGTGTAGTAGAAGTTTGTATTTGTTCAGCTACATTGACAGATCTGGATAAATAATCAGCAGTCGAATTCAATTTTCCTGGTTTATGAATAATTTTATAATCGTACTGAGACAACCCCATTATCCACCTGGCCATCCTAGATGTTGGATCTTTTAGTTTTAACACATGGGAAAGTGAAGCCTGATCACAATAAACAGTAAAACTTTTACCTAAGAGATATTGTCTAAAATGGGCAGTCGCCCAAACTACAGCTAATGCCTCTTTCTCAACTGTGCTATAATTAATTTCAGGACCCTTCAGCTTTCTGCTAGCAAAGCAAATAGGGTGTAAAAATTCATTCTCATCCTCTTGACCTAAAATGGCTCTTGACCTAAATGGCTTCGAGGCATCTGTACACAAAGCAAAAGGTTTCTTGAAGTCAGGTAAAGCCAAAATAGGCTGTGTTAAAAGTTCAGTCTTTAAAGTATCAAAAGCCTGTTGAGTTTCATCAGTCCAACTAAAAGTTACTTTATCTTTAGTTAATTCAGTTAGTGGTAAAGCTTTGTGTGCAAAATTTTGAATAAATCTACGATAAAATCCTACAAGACCTAAAAATCTTCTCACTTCCTTCCTATTGTTAGGCACTTGAAAGCTATTAATAACCTTAAGGTTTTTATCATCAGGCTTAACTTTACCTTCAGAAACTTTAAAGCCTAAATAAGTAATCTCATTTCTCAGAAAATTGCATTTAGAGGGTTTCAATTTGAGATTATGTGCATCAAGTCTATCAAATACAATTTTTAATTTGTTTAAGTGTTCTTCAAATGTATTAGAAGCTATAACTATGTCATCAATATAAATACCTATCTGTAAAGGTGAAAGATTTGCCAACACAATTGACATAAGTCTCTGAAAAGGAACTAGGAGCGTTTTCTCAAACCAAAAGGAACACGTGTCCAATGATAATGACCAGAAGGTGTAGTGAAACCACTTTTATAGGTGTCTTCAGGATGTGTATTTTCATTTGAAAGAAACCTGAGGTTAAATCCAACGTAGAAAAATAAGTAGCATTCCCTAAACCCTCAATAAGTTCAAACATGTTTGGCAGAGGAAACGAATCTTCAACAGTCTTTTCATTCAATTTTCTAAAATCTGTAACCAAACGATAACTACCATCTTGCTTCCTAACCAAAATAACAGGTGCAGAATAAGCACTATCACTTTCCTCTATAATTTTTGCCTCTAACAACTCAGCAATTTGTTTATCTAACTCTTGTCTTAAATGATAAGGAACTCTGTAAGGTTTCTGTCTGACAGGAATATTGTCCTTTAAATTGATATTATGCAAAATAGTATCACAACCAGTAAGTTCAGTAACTGAAGAAGCAAAAATATGCTTATACTTGTCTATGAGACTCATAAGTTCATGTTTCTGTTGTTCAGGTAAATGACTTAAGTCAAACTGACCTCCCCAGGGTTCAAACTGATCACCAGTCTCAAGACTCGTTGAAAATACTGGCTGAATATCAGGTGTACTGGCATTAACAGGAGCCAAAGTGGCTAATTTCATACCTTTGTTGATGTGTATGAAGTCAGGAGAAAAATTTGCAACCTTAATGAAAAATTCATTACTATCATGTTTACTATTGACTGAACGTGCTACACAAAATTTAGAGTGCTGATGGTGAGTGAGAGGTTCAATAAGAACAGAAGACTGAGAAAAGGGTAAAAGAGAAGATGAGACTTTGAGAATATTCTCAGAGAAAGGAGGAAGTTTATGTTTTGTCACAGAGTAGCAAAAGATATCATTAGGAGGGTTAATAGGAGATGAAGTACAATTATTAGAAACATCAGCATTTGACGTAGACTTGTGAAGGTGCAAAGGCACTAAAATGTGTTGACCTAGCAAATTAGATGTATTAAAATCAATACACAGTTTGTTTAAACTTAAAAATGTAGTTCCTAACAGTGCAGCATACTGATCAGACAAACTATCAATAATGAGAAATTCAGTTTCAAAGATCTGATCTTGAAGTTTAACAGGCAAAGTGGCCTTCTTGTTAACTAACACCTTGTTGCTTGAAATCCCTTTTAAATAAACTTCACAAGGTTGAACTTTTAGTTTCTTTCCAAAACACTGACAGTATTTAGCATTTAACAAGTTAACAGTAGCTCCTGAATCCAAAAGAAATTTAAGTTTATTTCCCAAAATCGAGCCATTCACTATTGGAAGAGGTGCTTCACCTAAAGAAACTGAATACACTGAAGGTACCTTCAAAAGGGCTTCCTGGGATGAACTGAAGGTTTTGCTCTCCCTACCCCTAACTAGTTTAAATTCTGGCTAAAAACAGGAGCCTGAGGATTTAACTGAGTCATGTTGCTTGTATTAGCCTGACCTGGAACCTTTTGTGTGTTAGGTGTTACTCTAGCATTACCTTGCTGGCTAGCAATGTTACGTGAAAACTGTCTCGCTCTGACATTGTTGTTAGGAACCTGAGATAAATTCACCATACAATTTCTAGCTATGTGACCTAACCTATTACATCTGTAACAAAGAGGACCTACTTGTCTACTATTAACTGTAGACTTAGACATCAATGACTGTACTTGTGTTTGCAAATTTCCTAACATGTTAGTCAAAGTAACAATGTTCTCTTGCTGTGCCTTGATAGCTGCAGTTAGTTCGTCTTTTGAACTATTAACCTGTGCAGCCTTAACTGTGACACGAGGAGTGGAAACTGCATTAACTTCAACAGTGTGCACATTGTTAAGCTCATCTGCATGAGTCTTAACCCAAACCTCTTCTTCAGCTATAGCATGTCTTTTAGCTGCTGCATATGTTTTGTGGTTCTGAGGTAACAACAATCGCCTCAAATGTAAATGGAGACCTTCCAGAAAAACTGACAAAAGTAAATCAAGTCTCTGACTCTCCACAGTTGGATCTTCCATTTTATCCAATGGCACAGTTTTACATGAAAGTGCCTCTATTCTAGCAGCAAACTGCCTAACTGTCTCTCTAGGCTTCTGAAAAGCCTGAATTAATGCTCTAATATGAGCATGCAAATTGTGCACTGTCGAGAATCTGTCCTTTAAGGCATCCACTACAGCAACCAAGTTGCTCTCATTCTTGAGACGAGGATTACTGCGAATAAAAGCAGCCGCCTCACCCTCCAATTTTACTTTAATGGCAGTCAACTTATCAGAATCAGTCCAGCCAACATGTGCTGCAACTAAATTAACTCTGTCAATAAAATCACTAAGCTGTGTGTAGAACCTTCAGCCTCCACTAAAAGTGGGAATAGACACAAGGGGATCAGCCCCAAAAACTGATATTCTACTAGTAGTAGGCTGTGTAGTCTGATTCCCAGTAGAATTGTTATTTACCGCCATTCTGGTAGGTGCTCTGGTATTCTTCCTTACTAAATTATGAATTACAGGCATTGTGAATGTTAAACTGATAAACCATGTAAAAGTGTAACAGCAAAATAATATGTGTAACTTAATTAAACACAATTTTCATCACAAAGCATAACAGTAATCAAAACAGTAAACAAAAGCAATTATGAAAATCAAAACTTAACTAATAAAGCATTTAATTAAATTTACTGCCACCACTACTAGCACAGAAATTTTTAAATACACTGGACCAACTAAAAGCACGGCACCATTTTTATGTTATATAAACAACATAAATTCATACTTAATAATTACAAATGAACCCCATATTTGTGAAACAACTAGAGAAAAAGTTCATTCTGTGTTATGCGGTAGGTAACTGTGTGTATAAGACACTTAACTGAACATATCAGTCAATATTGTAACAATAACATACTAAGTATTGTGAGCAGTCATACTAAACATAAATACAAAATAAGTAAACAATTTTAAATTCCAAGATGTTGCGTTGTGTTAAACAAAACCCATTCTATGTTTAAGGTCCAGTGTAAAAGATAATTACAATAAATACAAACAGGTTGTAAAGAACGCTCCTGAACTCTACTAGAAAGACCTATGATGCTCTTGACTAGAGAGAACGTCGTTAGCAAACTCCTCACACTACGAGTACTATAATTCATTTTAACACCTTATTTAAAGAACTGTGAATGGCAACGACTTAACTGAGAATTAGGCATGCGTAAAGAGATGAGCCTTCTGGTCAGACGCCTGTCAGAAATGAGAGAGTTTGGGAAGCTCCGCCAGCGAGCTGAGGTGTGAAGACTAAATTTGTCTAGTGATGACGAGTGCCATCTTCGTTAACGTCTCTGATCGTGTCACCAACTCGGATATCTACTAAATTACTGTATTAATGTTGTATCTGTGATATGTTGTGTTATTAAAAAGTGATGCATCACCAATACCAGTGTTGATTCCGTTCCCACTGAAGCATCCACGACGTCACAAGGTGAATAATATCAACTTACGTTTATTTAAGGTAGGAATATATTACGATTACAAAACATAAAAAGAGAGTCATGACCTCACTAAACATTACAATAAAACGTGGTGGCTGGTTCAATTAAAGAACTAATGTGAAAACAACCGAAAAGGATGACATACCCTTCTTTAACATATTAATGATCCTTCATATATTTGAGTTTGGTTAGAGTACTTAATAGCGAACGGCGAAGGAGAATATTATGATCTCAAGGAAAACTTGGGAGAGTATCTGAAATTAGAAAAAAAAGGGGTTAGGTTGATGCGATTCAGCAAGCTATTGGTTCGGAGGCCAGGCTTCCCTCCTATTACTGCTTCCAACCAGCGGGACACAGGTCTTCCCTCCACAGGCCATCATGACAGCGTAAATTTTAGGATTTTAGAAATATAGGTGTTGCAGCCTCTCTTCGGTGTTGGTTAATTTGCGTTGCTACGTCTAAGATGAGGCTCACCTCCGAGCTGCTCGTCCAAGTTGACATCTTATAAGTTCTCGTGAAATTTTTTTTTTTTTCGTCTCTCTTCTGTCGTCTCCGTCACTGTCCTCGTCTCCCGAAAAGCCTCTCGAAAACACTGCGCAGCCGTTTTAGTAGCTGGCGCGTTTTTTGAAAACTTGGCGTAGATGGTGACTAGCAAGAAGCCAAAAAAAGGCAACCCACACTCTGGATCTTCACGGGAAAAGGGTTTCCCGTCTACCAAAAGGAGCCGTTTCTCGCCATTCCATCCATTCCATCGTTCAACTTCCAAGGCCACACCAATGTGTCATCACAACTGCAGGCGGAAACAAGGGGGAAGAAACTAGCCTCGCTCCAGGGTCCCAGTCGATAATGCAGATCTTCTGTCTCAACGTATATTTTCCCCCACCATAAGTATGCTGTAGAACATCACCCTGCTAGCCTGGTCCAGCAAAACAGGGTCCCTTTTTCGTGAAACCCAGATGGTAAAACTATCAAGCACTTTCGCCCCCCACACATGGTGGAACGCTTAGCAGAAAGGAATTTTGGGTGCAGTACAACTGCTGACAAGAATTTCCGCTGAAGAAAAGAGGGCAAGGGGTGAAAATCTCTGAACTAAGTTAATACAAAATGACTTTGGTAAATTAAAAAAATGAAGCTACTAATTACACATTATAATACATAATATAAATGTCAGCACTGTAATAATTGTTTCCTCAGCCACCAATTGATACTAAACACAATTTATCCAAAAGAAATACAAATAGAATCAAATTATTTTTCTTCTACCGCCAGTCAGAAAGTATGTATTCGTTTAACGTTAAAAGAAAGAGGGATACCAATTAAATTACTCAAAGTTAAGAAAAAAAATTAACACACAAAGGTGCAACAACAAAGTTTTAAAATAAAAAAAAAAAAAATTAAAGTTAAAAGTTAAACAACCTTAAGGGTCAAAACAACTAGAACAAAAACAAAAATCTAAGTCCCTAAACTAAACTCAAATTAAAATTAAACAACTTCAATTCAGTATTTTTAAAAGCAACCTAACCAAAACTTAAAGTTTACAAAAGTTACAATTTAAACTTACAACCCACTTTAAACAACAAAAAAAAATTAGAACTTCAATTACAAATCAAAACTGAAATAAGCAAAACAACTTAAGCTTAAAAATATATATATATAACGTTTAATACATAACACATATTGCATTACCGTATGTTAACGTTCTGTACGCTAATACCTCCTTTCGTTAGTTATGATTTATAACAACGAAATGTGCAAGATTTTGTTAACCTCGTGTCGTAATTTCATGCAACTTCGTATAAAAGGAAAGTTAAGAATTCTGCACTCTTTTCTTAAATTTTATTTTAGACTTTATACCAAACACACATTTTGAGATATACTGCTAATGACACTAAACACGAGTGGATTTTTTTTTTATCTAATGAGCACTACAGTTAGTTCGAATTTTATAAAAATTACTACGTACTACACATCTTTCTTGTTAAACCATGCATGATACATTATGAAATTAGTTATTCTAGTATAAAAAGCCAAATTCAAAGGCATGCTATTATAGATATGCTGGACATTAGTCTAGTTGTGCATAATCAAAATGTAAAGATTCTCTAAAGTACATTGTATCATATTTGTCATTTCTTGGAAATCATGAAGCCTCTGTTAGTACAATTCTGAGTGGGCCTGATTACTTACGATTTGTTCCAAGTATTTTTGGCCTAAATCTATTTAATTTTCGCGAATTATTTTGTGAGATGGTAAATATTAAATTCTGGAGTTTCAAAAATACCGTAGAACTTGTGTATATATATATAAATATATATATATATAAACCTCAGATACATAGATACCGATCCTTCATTGTGTTTCGAATACACTACTTTGGAAGCCAATTAATGCAGACAATTCAATGCATTGTTTGTATACGTATATGTAATATGTTGTTTGGATGTGGTAGAAATCCTTCACTGATGATCGAAAGGAATGTTTGCTATGCAGAAAGGAGTTTTACATGTTCATAGTAATGAATAAGTCATTTGGTGAAACCTCGTGTACATATTCAACGACAGACTGATATCGAAATCTAATTATGTTTGAGAATGCCTTTCATTTGGCAGTTGTTCTATTCCGAAAGTTTCAGAACTTCTACAGATGCTGTTTGCTTTACATGATTTTATCATGCCGCATTAATAATTTTCGATTATGTTACGATTATTACAAGTGTGTCAATATTTTACTGTATTTTCAGTTGCGTTACAAGCTGAGGGTGCATCTGCAGTTTCAGCTTTGCCTCATTACCCTTCCCTGCGTCTTGGACATGAAGATTATGAGTTGGCAATGCCTAGTCTAACTACGTAAAACTATTAACCGACGCATATGCACGAGTCTCGTATTCACTTCTGGTGTTTTTTATGACAAGTAAGACAACATCATCGTCATAAACCACAATGTTAAACTTGTTGAGTCTGTTAAAGAATGCGAAGCCTGTACCTACCACTGGCTTTCAACATAGTCCATAAACCTTTAGATTAGACCATGTATGTAAATCTGTTGCACTGTCTCATAGTGTTAACCCACGGTTACATTCCAAGATCTTCATGTTATAGGGCGTCAGTGTTCAAAAACTTTTAAATGCGCCAATGTGCTCCGGTTTTTATTTTTAATTTAAATATCCATATATAAGTTTTGATGGATACCCACGTGCTTCCATTTAATTTAAATTATTTATCGATTTTATTAATAAATCTTTTGTAAAAATTAAGACTTTTATTCTCTCAATCAATATCCGATATATACTCAGCCTCAGCCCTCGACCCCCAGTCGACCCCTTTTAAAATGTCATCTACCTCCAAGGAGACTACATCGACCTCTTTGGAAACCCTGTTTTAGATAACAGCTGTAAATAGAGCAAATTTTTTTCATTAATCAGTAGTATATTATGAGGTAACAATTTAGGTAGTTAGTTCATATGCTATGGGTAAGAAGAGTATCAGTTCTCATTGGGTTACTTTAAGGCGGACGTTCTCAGGAAAATGCCTTATATTCATATATTGCATTTGGGGAAAGATAAAATTTTATATCATATGTAAAATAAAGTAGGTAAATGGACCGATAATGACAATTTGTTCATGCATTATATATCTCTTCTCTTTTACATGTGTTGCATAATTGTGTATATGCTTTTTAATTCAGCATGAACCCCAGGAAAAAATTACAATATTTCAGCGATGTCAGCTTAAAAACTCTTTAAGTCGAAAACTTATTTTTTTACAAACTTTCATCACTTAATTTTAGTTCATGTTTAAGCGATCAATATATGTTAAAAGTAAGTTACTTTAGAAACACTTTTTATGAGCAATTACTTTACTTCTACCCTTTGATAAATTAATCTCTTAAGTAAAGTTGATTGAACTCGAATTTCTTTTTTCAAGAAGCATTATTTTTTAAGGAATTATTCTTTACTACATAAACATCTGAAAATTTATTGACTTGGTTTGCGTGTTTAAAAACTAACAGAAACCGTATCGTATTATCATTGATAAAATACAGTATGAAATAGAAAATATGATATGAATATAGCGTGAGATTTAATATTAACTTAATAAATTATAGATTATTTTTAAAGTTCTTGCTGAGTACTGATGAAAACCTAGATGGAAAATTTTTAATATTTTACTCTAGATCAGCTTTTATCGATTAAGTGCTCTGATTGTTAAAAAAATTCTTACGAAATAAAATGGAAATCTTTACGAAACGCAAACAATCAAAAGAAAATATGTTATGAATAATATCTGAAAAGCCAAATGGTAAAGAGAATTTTAAAGCGGCTTTTAGTGCCCGTAGACAGCAATGTAAGGAATTTTGTTTCTTTTCTATGAAATAGCAATTTTTAAAGACATAATGCATTTCGTTTCGTGCTGCGTATCCTTAGTGGCAAATGTTTCCAGGCCATTTCCCATTCTTTACTTCTGTGCATTAACAGCAAATCATATCCTTTGCAACAAACTCTTCTATTACGAAATCAATCCTTGAAATTTAGTAATGCTTTAGTAAATTACGTACATGTTGATAATTGCTGCAGCAGAATCTGCATAACTGATCTTTAAATTAGAGGCGCTTACAAATCTGTTTTGAGCAGGACTTCCAAAATGATTATCTTTAACTTCATATGAAAAAGCTTCATTGAAAATATTTAAAACCGACTCAATAAATTTCGATCGCAAATCAAAATCGGAATAGAAATAAGTAAAAAGAAACGACAAATGAAATAGAATTACAGAAGAACATAAAGTAATTTTCTTTTTTTTTTCTCTTTTTTTTTTTTTTTTCTTATCTATTTGTTTTCTAATTTGTAATTTACTAGAGTTTCTTTCCTTGAGAATTAGGAATGCAATTTCGGAAAGCTGATACTTATTGCGCAAATTAGATATTAAATATAAGAATACTCTTTAACTAATAACTGTATTATGATAAACGCATTTGTAATTTTACATAGGATTCTGAATAATGAAGTTTTGTTTTAATTTGTATGCATTAAAAAAATAAAACGCAAATAGCAAGCGGTTAAAAACACAAATAACAAGTGAAAAAATATTCGCTGGAAGTTCTACTTTTTTTAAGGGAATTGAGAATACAAGGTCACCACACATTATTGAAGGCGCCTTTTATATCACGGAAATAAAATAATAATGTGCAAATATTTCTTTTCACCTCTCTGAACAATTTCATTCAGCGTTAAGAATTGAAAACAGCGTTAAAGATACACACTAAATTGATATAT